GTGATTTCAATTTTGAATTAGGATAGAAGCAAGCTGTAACTGTTTCGGTGCCTTTTTCTCCTTTTTTTTGTTGACGGCGCCATACATGCAAAAGCTTCCTCCTCTCTGTCCCCCGCATCGCTCCCTTCCCTTCTCCCTCCTTTTTCTCTCTCCCCGTAATTGTTTTTCCTTCTCYCTCTCTCTCTCTCCCGCCTTGCTTTCGCGCGCCCATTTCCCTTTCTTGATCATCTGAATCTTGGACCTATCTTGCGCCACCTCTCGCGCCTTTTTCTCTTCTCACCCTCTAAGTCTGGCGTACGACGCCCTGTCGATTCCCCGATAACTCTCGCTCGCCAATCAGGTGCGTAGATCGATAGGACCTTCCTATCGCGCGACGAATCTGATTGGTTGAACCTTGAGTTCCGAGGGATCAACATGACGTTCGTAGAACACTCGTCTCAAAGTCTTCTCCTCCTGCTTCTCCTCTTACACCTCCGCTTTCCTGTCGCCTTCTCCCCCTTCTATCTCCTCTGTCGCAACTATAAAACCCGCAAGCGCGTCCGCAAAACTCTCTTACGTTCTCGACTCCTAAGCCAACTTCCAAGAAGCAGTGGCTACGCAGAGTGGATTGATGCGAGTCGAAAAGTCCTGTCGCGCTGACGATAGGCTGGCCGCTTGAGCGCTTGATCAACACGACGGACTGTGGGATCCGGGCGAACCGTGTCAAGTCTACGACAACGGGGTGACGATCGCAGTGGTGGGAGTTAGCACGCGACGACCGGGATCGTCGGTGTGGGTATGAGGTTCGATGATAGGAGTTGAGTGAGTGATTGGCCCGGGGCCATGGTGGAATTAACGACGAATGCCCCTTTGTTGCGGATTGTTATCCTTGGCGTGAGTGTAAGGTGGCGACGCCGAACTTTTCTTTTTTCGGACCTTGTCATCTTCTATTTTGACTCTCTCTCTCTCTCTCTCCTCTTGAATGATGATGCGTCTGAATGATTGTCCTGCTCTTGAATGGAAAYGAGTCGGCATTCTGTGTGAAAGAACTTCTTCCGGAACTCYCCCWTTARTTTCCTGGGTAATCCTCCTACGCCAGGACCCTGTCTTCTAGTCTTGTGAACAGTGGATGCGTGTCAACTAAGTAATGCGATCCATCTTTTCYYGTGCATGTCTCATTTTTGCACCTTCCACAGYGAATGCATGTATGGAATGTGTGACTCTTTTGTTGATTAGACGATTGTCGYCGGGATTTTGTTCAAGAATGCAAAAGTGTTTAGATCTGTAGCTCTGTTTGSGCTGYGCATGCCATCTGCCTTATGCTGCACGACATCAGCAGCCGAGCCACRAGGCAGCCATGAGAAACAAGGCGCCCAGGRACCAACGTTGTGTTGAACTGAWCGGATCCGTAACSATATGCGTGATCAAGCTGATCTATGTTTGCTCTCTTCCTCGGGTCTAAAAGATTGATTGGGGGACGYGCGAATCGCTTTTGTTCTCAATKACGTCTCAGGATATTTTGTGATTGATTGACATGTGGACTGACAAGAACCCTTCGATTGGGCGCCAGCCTCCCGTACCTCCYATCCCAACGCGACCTTTYCCTTACAGTGAGGMAAGGRCACRTGTATGTGAGTGGGACGTACGAGAAGCCGTTGCACRAATCGGCGGGCAGTATTACTTCCSTCCGGCCAACTGCTGTTCTGGSTTCGTAGAAGTCRGGTTTGTTATTATCGATAYGCACTTCCCACCTTACTCGATATTGTTGCCATTTAACGAGTTGATCGTCATTCCGTGGACGGCARTAGAACCCCACTGGCCGCACACTCTGTGCACCGAATGTCAGCGTTTTGAGCGCTACGAGTCCAGGGGTTTTCACTACCRTGTGTGGAGCRAAGACGAGCATAAAGAAAGAGCCACGMGGCTGAGACCCTCCACGTCAGACTCGCAACTAACCAGCGAACGACGACGAGACTTGATACGAAAACGAGACACGCGAAGCGTGYCCAAGCCTTTCTGTTCTAAAYGACGGGCTATAGCCCGGTGGGAGGCACGACAATACTTTTTGGATTGAATTTGGACCTTTCCCTCTCTTCCCGCCTTGCCCGCGCACGCATTCCGCGACGCGTGAAAGCGATCGACTTGCTCCATYGGACCAACACGGGGGATTTCAGTTCCGTCTGTGTCCCCACACTTAATTTTCAAAAATCCTTAGCACACCCCATTTTGCTGTTTTTCTGGGCCTCTTTTCCGCACAGCTAACACTCCGAACGAAAGACAGCACAGGGCGTGAGGTTGGTATCGGAGCCGACACGTGTCGGTTCTGATGATAGCAAGTCGAACTGGCGAGAGGTAGGAGAGACCCTCAACTAGCTCTTCGAGATCGCCTAGTAACCAGGTCTCAGTC